GTTGTGATGGTTGCTCTTGTTTCCTCAAGTGTTCTCTGAGCCCTCGAGCTCAGCTCTTTGGAACCTTTGTCTTTGGCAACTAAAAGCTTGAAACCCTGTTTGTGGTGTGTGTATTAGTCTATGGGAGGGCGCGACCCCGATGTTTATGATGAGGAGAACTCATTGATTGACTATGATTGGAGAACTCTGACTGGATAAAGCAGCTTGTGGAGATCTGACCCAACTTTAAGAAAATATCAGTGATAAAGTGGAAGAAGCTGCTTACAAATGAATGTGTGTTGAGGGGGTCCATCTGCTCAACCAGGACATGTGGCTACACCTTGGGTCCACCATTGCCTCCAGGAGTCACTCATTAAATAACCAGGGGACAGAATTGTCCATGTAGATTTTGCTCTCATTGCACTTGCAGAGAAAGAAAGGAGCAGAAAGTCCATGAACAACAATGTCTCCTTATCTCCCTTCTAGTCCTGTCTTTCCCTACTGCGATCCCCAATCACACTTGGGGTGCTGTGTACCCACGTGAGCCTTTTTTGGGCAACAACTTATTCAATTGTCACTTCTATGCAGAGGAAGGAAGATGTTTTCTACATTTCTCACAGAACCTCCTTAAAGTCATAGAACCATGGAATGGGTTGGGTTGGGAGCAGGGACGCCTTCCACTAGAGCAGCTTGCTCCAAGCCCCATCCAGCCTGGCCTTGAACACTGCCAGGGATGGGGCATCCCCACTGAGGTTTAGGGCTACCCCATTTCTTCTGATACAGACAGGAAAGAAGGAACTGATCTCATGTCTGGTGTTGAAAATCTGACAGGCATTGGTAAGGAATCCAACCGTGAAGAGTCCTGGGGGTGGCAGCCAGCGGGGAGGGAGATCCTTGGGGTGCTGGGAAATCCTTTGGGGAGACCCATTTGCAAATGGCTATAGAGCCATGAAAACAACCGGAGAAGGTTGATGGGGAGCACAAAGGGTTGAATCACACCTTCAGAGCATAGACTGGGAGCAGTTGTGAGTGCCCTGCATGTGGGGAGGTCCGGACACCGTGTTTCTGTCCAAACTAGGTTATCACCACCATCAAAGGCAGGCTGTGGAGCAGTCAGCTGAGGCAGTGAAATGTGGTGTTAGCAAACCCTGCTGAGAGGAGCACGTGTTTGCATCTGCTCTGGCTCATGTCCCACAGGTTCAGTGTGTGGGTGCAGTGAGTCTACCTGGGCTTGTGAAACACCGTGTAGAGCTGCCCTCCAGCAGCTGAGGCCGGTTGTTCACCTTGGTGGTGGCTGCTCCTACCTCGCTCACTGAACCAGCCCTGTTCCTCAGGATCCAAGTGATAAACCAGCTGCATCGTCACCACCCCACTTCTTATCTGAGGCATTGGGTAAGGCTTTTCCATCAAGACAAAGCCTCTCCTCTCACAGTAACAAGTGGAAGCTGTGGAATTCTGCACACTACCAAGTGTCATCATCTCTAGAAGAAATAGTTAATATGAACATCATGATCGGGTCTGCGGGTGTTCTACTGATCTACTTTGTAGAGTGAAGGGTTGGAAAGGAAGGAGGTGGAGTCAGCCAAGAGAAATGGGCGACTCAGAAGACCTGATTTGTGCCTCAACCTTCATATGGGATGAAACACCCATTGGAGATCAGACAAACCAACTGTTTCGGGTGACTACAATGAGAGCCTGGGAGACCAGCTCAGAAAAGAGATTGCAAACCCCCAGCTCGTACAGGGGCTTGATCAGCGTTTCCACCGAGTTGTTTTAAGTACTGTTTACACGCTGGTAGTACATAGCCTGAAGCGCTGGGCTAATTTAGTGAAGGAATGGTTTGGATGGGTATATCAAAACCTGTTCTGCTTGTCAGCTAAGCTATAATGATACCTCCGGTTTCTGGAGATGAGTGTTCTGGCACCTTCCATATGAAATCATCTCTGTTTTAGTAGCAGTGAAAAAAATCTCATCCAGGATTTCAGTTGTCTGGAAATATGTCAGTTACTGTGGTTCCTTTCCTTCGGCAGGTCCGTGGTCCAACTCCTGCTAGCATCTGCAAGGAGCTCTGTTAAGACCAAAACCAAGCTGCAGGTCTTTGGACCATCCAGATCTGAGCTGGCATGATCAAGCAGATGGCTTTCTTTCCACCACAACAGCACATGCAAAGTATGGAAAGTGGCTACAAGAGGTGCAGTGTCTGTGTAGAACATCCACTGCCGGTTTCTCACTGACTCTCACCGACTCTCACTGTGTGTATCAGTTAGATACTGCATTTCTGATGGAAAATGCCACAGAAATGACTGTGTGAGGGGACACTTTGATTTTTGAGGTTCAGGGGCTGAGAAGATCATAAGATGGGGCTTTCATATTAATGTCTTGGGGCATGTTTTATCAGTTATCACAACACTGTAAACATGCTCAGGATGTAAGGCTGAAAGGTGTCTACTGACCCCCTGTGCCTGGGCACAGCTTGAGCCTCCAAGAGTATTGACATGATGAACAAGATTTCAGGTAGGGCCTGAGGACACCAAGGTGGTGAAGAAGATGAAGTAGACCAGTTGTCCTTAAATGTGGGAGTAACTATCTCAGTGCTGTTTTTCTGGCAGAGCTGCATTATTGGATGCACATACATTTTACAAAACATCCCAGGCTCATAGTCAACCTTAAGAGCACAAACCCATATGAAATCCCACCTTCTTACAAGGCCTGAGGGCCTTGATGGTTACATGCTGTCAAGGCTTCTAAATATTGCCCTCTATAGCTGTGAGCCAGCTCTTGCTGGTGGCATCCAGAGAGGTTTCTGAGCGTTGAACTGGGTGTGAACAGGCTCATGTCACCACCAAGAACCCAACAAGAGCCCAAGATGCGTTAGATACCACCACCTAGTGGGTGAAAACAGGCGTGCCATAGTGACTGGTGGTGAGCTGGTCTTTGCGCCAGTGCTCCCAGTTTCAATCTGACTGGTGGAGTTCTGGGCTTGAGCCCTCTTTGCCGTACAGATGTGGCCTGAACAAGAAGTTGTCCTGATTTGCTTTGGCAAGAAGCAGTGAAATCAGTCAGGGCTGCATTTCAGTACCATAAAAACTGGGGGGGGCTCTGATTTTTGGGCCTCCTTCCAAAATTCCTGGTGATCAGAAGTGAATTAATGAGCTGTGATTACCCCGGGAGCTACTCCCCTGGTGCCCACATGCACATACAACCCTCTCTCTCCTGACAGGCAGCAAACACAATTACTCAGACTTGAATGCACTGAGTTCCATCAGATGGAAGTGTGTGGAGAAGATCTGGTGTATTTCAAACCTGGACACCCTGCACTGTCAAACAACACGCAGAAGCTGTATCTCCTGCAGCGAGTTAGAGATGAGATGAAGTCGGGAGAGGAAGGCAGAGCTGACCTCATGGTCCTCCAAGCTACAGCCCGAGCTGAGCGGTTGAGAACAGCTCAAGGGTTGCATCTGGTGGCATCATCTGCCTTTTGGTGGCTCGGGGTCACCAGGGGACATCTAGACTCAGAGGTGATGTGGAGCAGGATGGATGAACCTCTCTCCATGTCCGGGGGTGTGAAAACCCAAGTGCAGATGTTTTGCTTATCAAAGTGTATCTATGGGAGGAAAACTCTTGAAACCATCCACGACCCTGTGGGCTCCATCCACAGCGAGGAAACCAAAACTCTGAGCTCAGTTTGCTTGCTGGAAAGGAGCCCAACTGCAGGACCAGGCAGGGTGCCCGGAGGTCACCCACTTGTGCTCAGAAGCAGCATGGAACCTCCTCATGGGGCTGTGCGGAGGCATCAGGGGGATGTGGTGGGAGACCAAGGAGAGACAAACGGGAAGCACAAAGTGAAGATGGAGTCAGAGCAGCTCCAGGCCAAGTGCCCTCCTCCTGGGCTCCAATCCTGCTCTTCCAGCTGGGATTGTCACGGACTCTGCCTGTATTTAAGCAGCCAAGTGAGACACCCAGGACTTCAATCATTCCTGCTCTTCTGTGTGTAGGTGTAATTGATAGTGCTGTCAAGAACCTGCAATTAAGTTGGTTGTCTTTCCAGCTACTTCATAGCATCAATTATCTCTCTTGCTGGGCTAAGGGCAAGCTGTTCCAGTGCAGAACATTTGTAAATAATGAGGTACATGAAAACCTTTGGCATCAGCTGCTCTTGGAGACAAGATGCCAGCGAGGTTTCTGGTAACCAGTTTTGGTTTTCATCAGCCTGCTTGTGAAAGGTGATGGGAAAAGCCCTCCACTGAGCCCAGGGAGAGACAAAAAAGGGATGAAAAAATCCCTGCAAAGCCAATGAAAGAAATGGGCACCTGAAAGATGGATCCATTTCTTGGGAATCTGAAACCCCCAGATGTTTAACTGCCAAGAAAACACCGACCAAGCTTCAAGCCTGTTGACAAAGGATTGGTTCAACGCAACAGCAGGGGAAAACCGCTCCTTTCAGATCATCTGAAATGAAAACCCTTCCCCTTTCTGCTTTGAAAGACAAGTTGGAGAGAAGCCACAAGGACAGAGATGGAATCTCGGCTCCGCCTCTGAGGCATTGTGAGGCTCTCAGCAGCTCTATTAAACTTATCAGCCTTTTCTTCCCCGTCTGTCAAGCAATTCCAATAAATCTCTTTTATTTGCCTTGAGGTATCCCAAGGGTTTTAATTACAAGCTCAAACACAAAGGAGAGCAACAGAGAGTAGCCATAGAGCAGCTGTGTTAAGAAGGTATTTTTGGATGCTGGTTGCTGGTCTGCACACCAAGGCCAAGTCCACCACAGTTTCCAACTAAATGATTCATAAACTGACAGTTCACAGGCTTGTGGCTGAGATGCTTCTTTTCTAAGCTATTTATCATCTTCTCCACAGGAGTCTCATTTTTCCATGTGTTCTATGCAGTCAAAGCCAAAAACTTCATAAGAAGATAGAGGCACACTGCTTTTTTTCCCCCTAAAAGTTGGGCATCCACATCTGAGCTGGTCGTTTTAGACTTCCTTGGACTCAAGAAGAGAGGAAAGGCTCTCTGGAGAGCAGTATCTCATGTCTGTCTCACCAGAAAGAGATCGAACAGCTGAGTTCTGTGCTCCAGAGAAGGCAGCTTGACCTAGAAAATGTGAAGAAGCAGGCAATAGAGATCATATTTACTCACTGGGTCCTAGATGTGAGATCCCAAATCATGTTTCCTACATCCTTCACCTTTATCAAGGAGCATTGGCTCACACTGGTTCCATTGGTCTAGAGAGGATGTTACCAGTGCTGAGCAAGGAAGAGAGCTTACCTGATGGCCTGTTTTCTGTTGGGTCGTTTTGATTATTGCAAAGAACTAATTGCACCAAATTAGATCATTGGATTAGCTTTGAAAGTGGTTAAAATTGCTCCAGCATGAATTCTGGCAGGACACAATGCTTCTGACACAGGTTCAAAGCATCCAATAAGCAGGATAGAATTATGACTCACCAGTAATTCAGCACCCATAGAAACTGGTATAATTTTCAGACCATCTAATTCATTATATAGTTTATAACGGGAGGTAATGGAAAACCTTAATTATTAGTTCCAATTAGAACAAAGTATTGATATCCTCAAAACAAGACTTAAACCCAGTCTGGCAGCACAGGGACATGTGCAGCTTTTCTGCAGTATTTCAGAATTTACATTTGATTTTACTTTTTTTTTTTTACATACATTCTATCATTCTGTGATTTTGGCTTTCCTAAAACCAACCGGAATATTTCCCAATTTGGGAACCTCAAAAGAAGCAAGAATTCCTCTTTCAAAGGCAAGGATGAGGGAAAGGGAAAGAAAGACCCTGACAGGCCATGTGATGCTGAGCAGCGTGGGGACTGTGCCCTCAAAGATGCCCAGGAGAAGGACGCTGAGCTGCAGAATGCCCTCCAGAAGGCCAAGGATGAGCTGGCTTGCATGCTGCGGGATTACCAGGAGCTGCTGAATGCCAGACTGGCCCTGGATATTGGGATTGCAACGTATAAGACTCTACTGGAGGGTACAACCATGTGTGGGCAGTGTTCAGCCCTTGGGACTCTTCAGCAAAGAAGGTTGGAAAATGCAAGGAATGCAAGTGATGTGACGGATGGCTTCGTGACCTTCTCCTGCAGGATACGCTTTGGGAGCCCTATGAGAACATGTAGGTAAGCTCAAGGTTTTCTATTTCCCTTATGGCATTAAACAGCCTAATTCTGGTCTGTAGAAGGAGGAGGAAGGCTACATCACCCCCAGGAGTGATCCAGCTTGTGTTTTGCCATGGCAGTGATCACCATCCCCTGCACCACCATCTCTGGCTGCCAACCCCATCTGGGATGTGGGTCTGGTAGAGACAGCCCAGAAGATGCACTGCTCTACCTGGAGCACTGCTAAAGCATCCCTACCTGAAGGTGCTGGTGCCTGCCACAAAGGACTCACCTCCAGAAGCATTTCCAGCTCTGTAACAGGCACTGTATCCCTAGAAGTGAAGAATTTAGGACCAGAGGTGGGGGCCACAGCTCAGCCCCTTTGGGCCCGGTGGACTCTGCAATTGGACTGCAGGGAGCTGTGGAGAGAGCTGTGAAGAGCAGGGTACACTCAGCTCACCCACAGGGGTTGTGCTGGCCAAGGGTGAGGATTTCAACCTCATCTCCTTGCTCCAGAGCACCTGGATCTACAGCTCTGCCAGTCAGGACAACCATGATGTAAGATCTAAAGTGGAAAAATGAAAGCCCTGCTCTACTTTTAGCGGTAAAAACCTCCCTAGCTCCACCTTACACACAAGGGAGAGGCATACAGGGTACAAGAACCTTGTAGCATCATGAAACCACATCAGAGAAACTCTGCTGGGATCACATCAAAAAAGGGACACTTAAAACATGTTCCTTTTGGTTTATGACGTTTCTTTAAAGAGCTGGTGGTTGTGTTGGGGCACTTATTATGACTCGATTCCTGCTTCCCACCAACCTTCTTTATTTCTCCTGATTGATTGAGCCTTTGCTATCTCTGGAACCAGCGGTGTGTGTAATTCAGAGTCCTTTCCCTAGAGTGCTTTGGGAAACGCGCTCTCTAGGACTCACCATTCCATCAAAGTCTATCTGACGTAACTTTAGGCAAGTCAGTGGAGCTGTCGTGGTGAGACACATGCGAGGAGGGGCAGGACTCTGCTCATTGTCTTGGAGCAGTTTGGTCACCCGTGTGCAGGCAGGGAGGTCATAAAGGAAATCTCAGTTCCTAAAGCCACCTTTCACCTTTTGTAGTCACCAGAGTCATTATGTCGCTTGTACTCCTATTAGTGTCCTTGCTTAGAGTCCTGACTTACACATCGATGGCAGCACCCTCTCTTCTATCTCAATGACTCAAGAGCTTTAAATGTTTTCCCTCTTTTCCCTTTTTTCCCAACGAATTGCACAGGGAACAAACGTGTTGTCCCTTGGTTTTTAGTGTTTGTCAAGAACACGGCAATACCCTACTCCTATACTGGACAAGACATACCTGCTGATTAGAAGTCTTAACAACTACGCAGAGGTGGCAGGGCTGCCCACAGAGTGTCACACAGATCTAGTCTTCCTTGGTGTCAATTATGAAGCCTTTTAAAGTCAGCTTATTCATGCTGATTTGCACCGACTTTGCCTCCTACACAATGCTAGTCAATGGGTGCTTGAAGATTTATAGGGAAGTTATCTCAGTCTCTTTGCATGTTTATAGCATGTCTGCCACAGAGGTGTGATGACAAAACGCGTTTTATTCCTCTTCAAAATCTGCTGCAATGGTGCCATTTATGGGGAAAAAACTCAGGAATGTGCTCTGTGGCTTCTCAGCACCATTTTAGAAATCCTACAACTACCAGTTTGGTTAAAACAGATCAAAGGGGACATTTTATTGTATATCTGAGCAGATTAAAAGAAGCAGCCAACAAATCAGTTACATAAATCAACCAAAAAGGACTAAAGTGTTTTGCGATTAAACTGATGAAAGCCAATAAGCAGAACAAAGAAGTGCACCATACAGAGGCATGTTGGACAGGTATGTGTTCTACAGAAGGGGAGATTCAAAGAGAAGGTCTTTCCTATCTGAAGCACTTACCATGATTCAGAACTGGAAGAGTTTTCTCTCCCACCCCCTAATTCCCTTGTGCTAGGAAGTTATTTCCTGATCAAATATGGGGAGCACAAAAGGAAACAGGCCTCATCTTTAATTAAGAAAGCCACAAGAAAGATTTGGCAAGAAAAAACAGTTGAGCAGCCATAAATATTCATAAAGAGGGGTTTATGCATCTCATCAAGGTGATGGTGTTCCCATTGAAAATAGGCAACTCTATCACTTTTTATGTAAGAGAAGAATAAGTCATGAAATGACACAGAATTGGGGTTGCTTTCTCACCTCCAAACTACCCCCCCACCATTTCAAGACCTGAAAAGTTAACACAGCAAGTGCTTTACTTTAAACCTGTGACCAGCCCCTCTGAACACCATCACAATCTCTCATCAGCTATGCAGCAGCTCATCCCAAAGCTGCACAAACATGAGCTTGGGCACTAGGGCTTTAGCATAGCAAAAGGGAAAGCTTATCTCCTGCTGGCTGAATACACTTCCCAGGAGGACCTGACCACCTTCCAGCTGAATACGCTTCCCAGGAGGACCTGACCACCTTCCAGGGGCAATTCCTTCCTTCTGTGTGGCTGAGAGAACATTTTCCACCCAAGAAAACAGCTTCAGCGAGAAGGGACAAGAACCGCTATGGATTTATATGGAAGTTGCTGTAACCTAATAACAGTGAAGTGGTTTTTTCCCCTTTTCTGATGTTTTTGCTTTGGAGGGCAGTGTGATGCCATCCCAGATTCATCCCCTCTTCAGGGGCCCGGCTTTCCATACGTCCCACATTCATTTCCACTGTACAATTCTGGTGGAGGAAGACACTGACACGAGAAAGATCAAACCAACCCTTTGCTTTGTTGCAAGCCTCGGCTCTACAGGCGCTCATCACCGCACGCAGATATGACATACGTGTACACCAGGGATGGAGCCGTGTGATGTTGTGTGCTCTCATTTAGACTTCAAAGGAGCAAAAGAAATTTGGCGCCCAAAGGGTGGGACTAATTTCACCCAACTTTAACCATCGAGAAGTGGGGCGCCTGGTCTACTTGTCTGGTTGTCTAGACTGCCTCTGGTAGTCAATAAGAAGAGAGGCAAGTACCTCCAGAGGTGGATTCCTCCCACCCGCCTTAGCTGCCTATTTTAGGATGCAATGAATCACCGTCTGGAGATGCCTATCTCTTTCCATTAGCCATAGATGGAGTCTCAGAGATGAAATTAGAATCCATGGCTAGTTTGATGGCTGAAGGAGGGAGGAAGGTGCACCCAGGCCTGGTGTTTGATGAATTTTATGAGGAGCATCCTTTGAAAATCCCAACCTCGACTTCTAATGTAGAGCAGATGTAGGCTAATGAGAGAAAAAATGCATCACCAGCTTGAATTCCCTTGGACAACTTTGCCTTTAGGCTACTAGGGAACGAGGCTGCACTAATCAAATCAACTCTTTAACATCTCATGAATGACATGGAAAAGAGTCTGTACAGCTCAAGAAACTACGTGCATAAAAACACACGTTATGACCCAATCTTCCACCTATGGAATGGTTTTAGCACAGGTAGGTTATTGCCATTGTCCTGTCTGAATGCAATGAGTTTTCTCTGGCTGCAGATAATTACAGAGATGGAGCACAGCTCTTTGAGACTATCGCATAAAGCTTATTTTAAGAGCTAGTTCAGATTCATTTCCAGAGGCAACAAACAAATTAGTGAACTTCACATGTTCTTGTAATGAATTTCATTTTCAGCAGCACATTGAGGGAGAAGAATGCTGACAAAGGGAGAGATTGCAAGTTGTCAAAATGACTCATCAAACCCTCATAAAAATATTTTCCTTTTTTTTGCTTCCTCAGTCCTTCCCCTCCTTTTTTTTTTTTGTGTCAAAAAGAGTCAATTTTCGCTTCAGGATACTCTCCCATTTCTCATGTCCATACTCACAATGACAAACTGTTGATTCTGGAGTTCTTATGTACCAAAAGGTGAAATACTCATTGTTCCTTGGAAAGACCAAAAAGACATTAAGTGAACCTCCTGCCTTGCTGCCTTCTCACTGGGATTCAGGAGCAACAACAGGGATTTGGCTAACACAGAAATTTTACCCAATACCAGGCAATGTATGCCCCAAATCTCTTACCTATCAGGAAGTCACGGGCTCTGGTGAGGCATTTTAGGACCAGGGCTGCAGCAGCACGGTTGGTTCACAGACATTTAATTGCAGCCTATGTTACGTTCCAGGTGTCTCCTACGCAGTCAACACGTCTAATGGGATGCAGAAAGGGAGCAGTGGCACACCAGCCTTCCGTCTCACTCTTGGTCCAGGACACAGTTTTCCTATATAGAGCTCATAACAATTGCCTTTTGTCCTCTTCTTTGGATTCAAGCATGCATTTTACTTGTGATAAATCTTTGTTTAGAGCTTAAAGGATCTGGGAAGTTACAAGCTTTAGCTTGAAGCCTCTAATATTTGTTTTAACTGATATTGCCAGTTGCGCTGGCACCCCAGTATGAACCGTGAGCCTAAAATACTATAAACAAAGGTGCAATGTGAAAGTCATGCTGTAAATATGTTGAATTACCCCATTTGTATAGGGCAAAAGTATTAGTTTACACAACTAATTCATACCACCAGCCCCTCAAACTCACATAAGTTGCAATTAGACTTCAATTAATAGCCTTGGGAACCTCTGCTGTAGTCACGTCCTATGGTTGTGCTGTGCATGGATTCTTTCTAAGAACTTGATATTAGAAGGGTTAATGTTTTCAGGAGGTTTAGCATTGTTTTTAGGGCTTGCACAGCCTGATCCTAACTCTTGGAAAATGTACTCGGAGGGGGTTAATGCAGATGAGGGAACACAGCTACTGGGTGTCCCCAGATACTGTCCTGTCGTATGTAATGTGGAGACTTCTGCAAGCATCGCTCCGCTTTGGTCAGGAAAGGCTGAGGGCACTTAGTTATTTGCACTATAATGTTTCTTTTTCTCCCAGACAATTTACTCTCAAAGAGCTGAAAGAGCCCTATTGTCAGTTTGGAGAAGGCCCCGAGATGGTTGGCAGATAGGTTTGCTGTCTTACGTCTTTGGGCTGGTGATTAGGAGAGAGAGAGATTCACCTTGCCAATGTGAGTCAAAGCCATAGCTGTGTCCAGTCTAATCCACTCATTAAGACTTCCTCTGTTGATGCAGAAAGACCAGGGCCTGTGGAGAGTGAATCACCCCAGTTCCCCTAAGCATGGACCCAAGGGCTGTTTCTCTTGGAGATGTCTCTCCATGGAGTGTCAAGGACGTGTCTGGCAAAGCCATCCAGCTTTTAGCTGTCACTTCTTGAATGAGGTGCATCTCACCAGGCTGGAACGTGCTACTGTGCCTTTTTAGTTCCCTGGTAGTTCACTACCAGAAGATGGATCAAAAAGGTCTTTAACATCCAGCTTGGTAGAAGCTCCAGTATGGCGAGGGCCAAAGATTTATCTGTGTCAACAGGACTTCAGGTTAAGAATCTGCAGCACTGCTCAAGTGAAAATGTCACTGACAGAACAGAACATAGATCTGGTAAGCAAACCAAAATATGCCACAGTTCCTGCTCTGTTTTAGAGGTGTTTCATGGTGGTTAGGAGAAGGTCAGTGTGAAATGCTACATGGGAAATGCTTTTGGGGGGCATTTTGGTCCTATCTAGACCCATAACTCCGTGAATGTGCGGGTGTTTCAGGCACAGAAACAATCCATCCATCACAACACAACTTCCACCATGTTTTTTCCATGCTTGACTTTTTTGTCTCTGGTTATTCTTCCGCACCCAAAGATTGTAAAATTACCCCCACAAAGTGCAAGTCTGCAAAACCTGCCATCACACAGAGAACCCCATGAGACACAAAACCCCAAACGACACACTGCAAACAAATCACAAAGAGTTTCTTCAAAAATGTCTCCTAAACTATAATTAGAGTAAGTTAGGGGAACACTTCAAACCATAATGTATTCTAAGCCAACTTGCAAACAGAGCACTTTCAGATTCCTTTTTATTTCCTCAGTAGTTAGTATTTGCTGGGCTGTTTTGCATTCTGAGGAGCATTTATTGCTGCCAGGCAAACCAAACCCTTAAGCGCTTTAAATTAACGTCCTGATCCTATCAAGGCCAGCTTCCCAAATATATATAAGGGGTTAGCATCACTGGTGTCACTCCAGCAGGATCTCTGTTCCTCTCCTGCAGAAGAGCTTCCCCTAAACTTCCATATTCCACCTCCAAGTAAGCCACGATGAGCAGACAGGCGCCTACAGTGAGATCCGTCCTGGGACGAAGAGGCTTTAGTTCTGCTTCGGAGATCTGTGGTCGCAGCTACGCTGCCTCTGCCTGCCAGCCTGTGCGCTGCGGAGCCGGTGCCTACAGCAGCAGGAGCGTCTGCAACCTTGGTGGAAACAGGAGAATTTCCTACGTGAATGGGGGCTGTGGAAATGGATGTTTTGGAGAGCTCGGCTTTGGAGGTGTAGGCTACGGTAGTGTTGGAGGAAGGGTTGGTCTTTGTGGCCCCAGGGGATATAGCATTGTGAGAGGGTACCCCGATCGCAAGGCTGAGGGTATCCAAGGCATCTGCATCGATGAGAGGCTTCTGAAGCCCCTCTGCGTTGGTGTCGACCCACTGGAACATGAAATACGCTGCCAGGAGAAGGAACAGATCAAGACCCTCAACACTCAATTTGCCTGCTTCATCGACAAGGTGAGTGCAAACCTGCTCGTGCCATGAACCACTGAGCCGGGTCCATGCAAGGGTCCAGATTCCCATCGTCGTGTTGGTTCAGGCTGAGATCCTCAGTACTGGGGAAGGGCTCATTTCAGCCACACACCGGTCCTAGTATTTGATGGTGTTTGCATTGTGGCCACGGGAGCACTGGACTTTCCTGCAGGTGTCTCCTCTCTGGACAGCCCCAGTTCAAGGCTGGATTTCCCTATTGCAGCCTTGTTCTAGCTCAATGAGAAGTTACAGCCCTGATGGGCTCATCTTTCTGCCCTGTATCATCCCCTTTTCTCCCTTTGTCTTTAAATAGAGCGACTGTTCCCAAAACATTCCTGAAGGCAAAGGAGGTTAATCCCGTTTCAGGCATTAGATATCTAAGACTGAGCTGTCATCTTAGGGTCCCTTTGTAGAAAAAACAACCAGGTCCCACTCTATGGGGACTCAATTTCATCCTAGAATACAAGAGGCACCACTTAGAGGAGCTTTATGTCTATTCATTAGTGAGAAAGGCAGATTTAGACATATGGCTTTTATATGTCATGTAGACCTGGGATTTTTAGATTTCTAAATAAAGGCCAATAATTGGCTCATTATCTTGGCATCTCACCTCTCACTTTCCCAAAATCCTATTCCTACACCCCGAGTGAGAGCAGACAGTTAAACTATAGGTGCTGAGTTACTGCATTAATCTCTTGATTTGAAGAATTGCTGGTTTTTGGCCTGCAGGTCCGATTCCTGGAGCAGCAAAACAAAGTGCTGGAGACAAAGTGGGGCCTCCTGCAGCAATATGTCCTGCCAAAGAAAGGGAAAAACCTGGAGCTCTACTTTGAGAATTACATCTGCGACCTAAGGAAGCGCCTGGACTGCTTGCTCTGTGAGAAGCAAAAACTGGGCAGCGAAGAATGTGCCACGAGCCAGCTGGTGGAGGAGTTCAAGTGCAAGTAAGGACCTTCAGGTCTCCTCTAGCTGTTGGCATTCACTGCTCCTCTGGTTCATCTCAGGCAACATCTCCCAGACATGCGGCACATCCCCTTTGGGGATGTCACATTCTTCTGTCTCACTTGCAAACTCTTTGCATTGTTAATGTGGTTGTTCATGAAGGAGCTTCTGATCTTGGAATGGTCTCCAGACACTGAGCTTATAGTGCTTGATAGCAGCCTCTGAGCAAGTGGAGGTCGTTATTGATACCTGATGGTTAATGTCAGTGTGCCTGATAATACTGTTTGCCTCAGCCCCTTTCTTCTCCTTTTTCAACAGATATGAAGAGGAAATCAACAGGCGCACGACTGTGGAGAATGAGTTTGTGGCACTCAAAAAGGTGAGAAATTCAAAATGCATGAATCATTGTATCTGAAATAAGTTTATTTGGTGTAAATCTTGGCCAAAATGATGCATTATTAGCAAATGCCTGGCAAAAGTGTCATAATGAGCAGAAGGAGGAGGCCTGTAAAGAGGTACAGGGTCAAAGAAAGAGGCAAATGCAACTAGAAAGCAAAAACACTGTACCCTTAAAGCTCACACCATCATCACTGCAGCAATAGTTTTGTTCTCCCAAGCACAATGGGAAGGTGCATTTGTGGAAGAGGTCACACTGGAATATCCGGTGTCTAAGACGCTGGCTATTTTCTGACTGTCTCTTCATTTCCTTTATACTTGGACATCAGAAAAGCAGAAATCATTTGGACAATATGAAGAAATGATGTTTAAACTCTCATTAGTCAATTCTGAGCTTATAGCCACGTCCTCACTAATAAACAAACAAATCCCTGTAAGTCGTGTTGGAATGGTTTTGTTTTCCTTGGGGAGACACCAGAGCATCCTGACTCACCCTCTCACACCTTTCTGCTCTTGAAACCTTGTTGAAACATGTTTCTGTTTTATTGGTGCTGTCTCTGTTTTCTGTGTGCTTCTCCACCGTTTGCAGTGAGATAGGGCTGGACCGTGTCTCCTCTCTTTCAGGATGCAGACTGTATCTTTCTGAACAAGGAAGAGCTGGAGGTGAAGGTGGATCTGTTAAGAAGGCAGCTGGAGTTGTTGAAATGCGTGTTCGAGGAGGTGAGTTTTCTCTGGTCCGCCCCAGAAGTTTGGTGGTGCTGTCTCATGCTTCAGGTACTCCAAATTTGTACGGCTTGAAACCCTTCCTGGACACGTCTCATCCCAAGCTCTGAATACTTGAAAGCAAGGAAGTACAAGGTTGATATAACATTAACATTATGATGCTAGAAGTAGGGTGGTTCCCCCTTTCTCTGGTATGAATTGTCCCTGTCCTAACTCTACCCTTGAGAACAGAGATGAGTCTGTTTAGTTACTCCGTATTGCAGTTGTCTGATTAGAGCTAAAGAAACTCCCAGCTTAATCCTGTCATTAACATCAGTAAAGAAGCTGAAGATGACAGGATATTAAGGGTTAAGTCACTCAAATTCCTTGCCCTTTATGTGGACAGAATTGCTGCAGGTCAGCATGCAGGTCAGCAGTTGACATGTGGCAACCCATCCAGCAGGGAGGATTTTCTGCTGAGACAACCTGAGGGCCATTTCTTGACTTGTTCTATCCCTCAGTGTGCCTCTTTCTCCCAGCCCTTCCTTCTCTACAAAGTCTGAGCATTGCTAACACCTGACTAAGCCATTCCCCAACCTGTAGGAACGAGCTCAGGTAGATCGGCAGCTATGCGACACTTCGGTCATCGTGAAAATGGACAACAACCGAGACCTGGACATGGAAAGCATCATCAAGAACGTTGAATGTTGGTACCAAGAAATAGCTCAGAAGAGCAAAGAAGAAGTTGATGCTTTCTATCAAACCAGGGTGAGTAAGAAGTAACCTGGGGTCTCAATGGCAACTGAAGAGATCAGAACTGGTGACTGTCTTGTTTCTTGGTTCCAGTTTCAGGAGCTTCAGGATAAGAGAGGCAAGTATTGCGACGACCTGCAGAGCAATAAGTGTGAGATTTCAGAGCTAACCCGTATGATACAGAAGCTGCAGTGTGAACTGGAGAACGTGAAGAAGCAGGTAGGAAAGGTCCAGAATGATGATTGCAGAAAGGGAAATGTCTTGGAGGACAATTAAGTTATCGGGGAAGATTGGCCTTTAGTAGACAAGACCTGCTCTAGGCTGTAGGTGGAAAGTGTATAGTTGGAAAGAGGATAGTGAGAAGGGACACTGGTGGGTTTTCCCTCTGTTTGCAATTGGAAAAGTGGATTGAAAACTAGAATGTCCAAGAATTGGGAAACGAAGCCTTGAAGACTGTTATCTTCCCTTCTGACAGGTCTCCTGCCTGCAAACCTCCATTTGTGATGTTGAACAGCGAGGAGATTGTGCCCTCAAAGATGCCCGGGAGAAGCATGTTGAGCTGCAGAATGCCCTTCAGAAGGCCAAGGATGAGCTGGCTTGCATGCTGAGGGACTACCAGGAGCTGCTGAATGTCAAGCTGGCCTTGGATATTGAGATTGCAACGTATAAGACTCTACTGGAGGGTGAAGAGAGCAGGTGAGTGACAAAGACCTTGTCCCTTTCCTCCTGTATTCCAGAGGGCAGAACAATTCCAGCTCCCAAGTGAATTTTGCAGCTCCAGGATCCTCCCAGGCTCACAGAAAATGGGACTGGAGAAATGGCTGGAGGCCATACAGGCCACCATTGTGCCAGGAAAAACAGTGCCTGTCCTAAGGATAGTCAAACGTGTTACAACACGGGATGAAGTGGGCTGGGTCTATGGCTGGAAGTTATGAGTAACGTAAGGTTTCCAGATGTGCATGCAACTGGTTAATAGGATAACGTGTATTTCTCTTCTCTCCCCTAACAGGATATGTGTGGGGAACCCAGTGAGCGTGTGTAAGTAACCTGAAGATTTTCAGCCATGAGGGCTTCTCATGTTAGTTTATGGAGTGCTTATCTTCTTCCCTGCCTCAGTCTTTAATATTCACCTTTTCTAGGTTGCAATGAGACTTTTGCCCTGTGAGAGCAGGTAGATTAGTAGTGCCATTGGCCTGTAACCCATCTGCCCAAGATCCCTCTGCCTTCCTTTTCCATGTTGGCCCAGGCTGATGTTGAAAGTTTAGTTTCAGAAATCCCAAATACCTCTGAATTTATGAAAAATCAGCTTTTGGAAGGAGGGGGGAAGGTGGAACCCAGGACCCTTTCTCTATTCTTGGAGGCAACAGCAAGCTGTCCTGGTGAATTCACCAGGCACTGATATGCATTGAACCTGGGAGAGAACATGGCACCAGCCAGACGAGCAACGTGGGAACTGGGAGGATGTGTGAGGGGATGTGTTGCGACATGGGGAAGGAGCTGGAAGGAGCAGGGGCTCCGGTATGTTGGACAGATCTAGAGGAGATCAGGTTGGGTTGGTTCTGTCACTCATGAAGCAGCATGCCTTGTGAGAGTCTTCCAGTTTTCCTCCCTGTATAACCCCTCCCATGGGCTGTCTTGCAGCTGTGGTCAGCAGCGGCTACAACATCCCTGACGACTGTGGGATGCTGGCTGCAAACGCGGCTGCGTGCGGCTACGGCTCCTTGGGAAGACGATCCGGACGGCACAGCTCCCAGAATGGAGGATTCAGCTCCCGGAGCGCTGGGATCCACCCCAAGAGAGTCATTAGCTCGGTGGCCAAGCAGTGTGTCCCAGAGGTGTACTGCCAAGCCGGAGCTGTCAACTGCAAGAATGGGGGATTCAGCTCCCGGAGCGGGGGTTACCCAGCCCGCACCGTCATCAGCACGGGGAACGGGGGCTTGAATGCTCGCATGGGGCAGTGCCAAGCTGGTGGGGTGGTCAGCTTTGGAAACCAGGGCTGCGTTGTCAGGCAGCTGGGGGGCTCTCCCGTCGTCGTTGCGAACAGCCCTGAGGTTGTGGGGTGCAACAACGGCGTGGCGGGGAACTACGCGGTTGTCAGAGACCCCTGTGTTGTGCCGTAGGGCCATCGGCTGGGAGGTGGCAGAGCCACGGTGGAGAGCAGCACTCAGAGGTGCTGAGATGATGCAGGGCAGCTCCTCTGCCCCATAGCAGCAACGTTTGCCACCCAGTCCATTCCCACATGTATTAGTATTAGATATTTACCCCACCAAGTGATGTGTTCAGAGTCCCCAGCCCTAAAGACACATCTAGAAAGCTTCTCCAGCAGGTGCTCAACACAGTGTTATTGCTCTGAGTTTATACTCTCTAGAGGATCACAGCTTTAAGGGTTTGCTTCTTGTGCTGCCTTCTCTCTCTGCCTTTCCCCATAATGAGCATTAATGATTTTCTTCCTTCCAAGACTCTTCTTTTCCTTCGAGCTCCTGCCAAAGCATTTCAGAGAAGAGAGTGATGATTTAGCTTTACCAGGAGGCGCTGCAAAGAGCACTCTCCCCTTTTGATTTCTGTCAAAGAAGAAAAACCCTGAGCTGCAAATTTGGGCTTAAATTTTAATCAAAGGAATTTCAGCTTCCAGAGCACCCGCTCGTTACGCTGCAGCCATAGGCTTTGTGTGGAATCTGCTTACAGATGAATCCATAGTACCTTCATGCGCTTCTGCATGCTCGGGGTGGCTAGTTCAAAGTGTGCTGTTTAGAAGAGCTCACCCCCCATCCCTACCCCCAGAATTCCAAGGGAAGTTATTGGTGCAGATGTCTTCCGAGCTGACATTTTGTACTCACACCAACAGGGTTTCTTTCACTGACTGCTCAGACTTCCCAGCTTTTCCTTGCACCTTCAATAAACTGCATTGAAAGTATGTTTTGTCCTGGAATTTTTCCCTAGATGGAATTTAAAGGAATCACAAAACAGGTGAAGAAGAAGGGTGGGAAGAAAGCACCAAGCAGATCTTTGATTCCTTTAGCCAGTGGACTCAGGAATGCCCTGTGATGTTATTCTGTTTTAGTTACCTCCTTTTGTCACATCACCTATGAGCTATTTTATAGCCCAAGGAACAACTGATGCCAAAGTGTGACAGAAACCTCCAAAATCATTCTGAGCACTGTAAGATGTCCTCTACCACAGGTTTACCAGCCTGTAGCTCCATTCACCTCTGATCCTTCCATGTCACAGCCGTTGAATGAATATATATATATATATGTATATATAAAGATGCCATTGCTGATCTTCTGGGCTCGACGGGGCTGTACTCTGCGAGCGTCATACGTGCTTCAGACACAAACCCTTTGCTTCAATGGCATTAAGGCTGACAAAGTGTGACGTTTGCCTTGTATGACTTAAAAGGCAAAGGGATAAGTTATGAGACCTATAGGCCATACCGGAGTGGCATTGACTTTGTCTCAGTTTTGAAGTCTCCCATGTAGTGCTCCACGTGTGAACTGCTGGCTTGGGGCTCATTTCATGGAAAGAAACCAACATTTCCATGGGCTGATTCATCTGACCAAATGCAGGTGCTTAATTTAGCATAAAACACATCAAGCTCTAGACTCCACTGACAGCATCAATTAGGTCTCTCCTGGCTCTGCAGGCAGCCTGGGGCAGGGGCATTAGAGCAAATGGAGACATCACCATGCAAGACGCCTGCATGTACTCAGACGAATACACCCTGCCCGTCATCCACTGGATTCACAGACACTATTATCACAGTGAATTTCCTCCTGTCTCCAGCACATGAAGAATTACAGGCCACACGGCACTACTAATCTGCCTGCTCTCACAGGGCAAAAGTCTAATTGTAACCTAAAAAACGTGAATATTAAAGACTGAGGCAGGGAAGAAGATAAGCACCTTTGGGGAAGGGCATGAGATGTCATTCCTATACTAGGAGTAGGAGCTGCTTCATCTAACTTTGACCATCTGCACGTCACACTCTGGTTATGGGAGGTGCTGAGTGCTCCACCTGAGCCCCTCTCTCAAGTGAGGAAACCCAGTTCTGCAGTTTATACAACCTCCAAGCGGCTGCAATTAGATGAGATGGAGCCCACCTCAGTGGGTAACTTTGCATCTGAGCTTAATGCATTCACTGCTTGCAAATGTGACCTGGAAAGAAGGGAGGCCTGATGTTTAGAGTCCCTGCTGAGACATTTGGCAGCTCCAGTGAATTTCCTCAACGTCACCAATTCCCTGTGTGGTTTCATGATGTCACTCTCGGCCACAGCCAGGCAGTGAGCACAGGAACCACTGTGGATCGAAGTTTGGGTCTTCCTTGTGGCTAGGAGGAGGCATGGCAGTCCCTTTGCAATCCATAGCCAGAACTCGGTTTGGCTTTGTTTCAGAGGCCATTTTTCAGTGGGTTTTGCTGTTGCTAAAAAAGACAGGAGGTGGAGAAAGCCACAGCTTTGGGACCTGGGGTTAGTCCTCACCAGCCACTGCTGGTTGACTCAACCAGTTGGTCTTGTCCTTGTTTGCTTTCCCTCTATGGCCTGGTGAAACAGGACCTGGCTTTGCATGGCATTCCGGGCCTCGAAGGGGTGATAGCACAGAAAACCCCAGGTTTTCCAGAGCTTTCCCCTCCTGACCATTAAAGTCGGGACACCCATCTGTCCCCAGATAAGAGAAGACACAAGCTTGGGCTGTCGGTTGCAGTGCCTCATTCTCTTGCTCCAGGGGTGAACTGCAGGCTGGAGTCTAAAATAGCTTCCTAGCATTAGTATGGGTGACTTCTCCCATCCCAGCCAAGGAAGCAGGAGGTGGCTGCCTAATTTCAGTGGGAGAATGATTACCTTTCACTGGACTGAATAATAGAGGGAAGAAAGGAAGATGATATTACCTCTTCCAAACCAAGGGCAACTCCTTTTCTCCTCATTTTGAGCCAACACCTGGATGTTCTTAGCTACAATGGTAGCAAACCGAAGAGGAAAATGAAGGCTGCATTATTTTTTTCTCTATGTCAACAGCTTTTGCCACAGGACTCTTGTCCCAAATGGAAAAGGTTCATCCCAAAGAGTTTTCAAACTTGTGTCACAAGCTCAGGAACATTTCCTTGGAAGTGATTGCTATCTTTCCTTCCTTTTCCTCCTTTTCTTTTAATAAATCTTGAAGATTTACCCTATGAAAGGGTTTTGGTTTGATGTTTTGGCTGACCAATACTGGGGCAGCGGTTGGACTTGATGATCTTAAAAGTCTTTTCCAACCTAGTTGATTCTATGATTCGAATACAACACTCCAAGCCCAAGCCTGCCATGGTCGAGGAGATGAAGATGGAAGTGAGAAGAAGCAAAACCATCTAGACTAAGTGCATGGTCTAGGCCTCCTCCATTATCAGTGGGGACAGATGGGCAACTCAGAGAGTGCCCCCTCCAAAACGCAAGCATGTTTTGGGTGTGTTGCTAAAAGAGCTGTATGAAGACAGGGTGGCTCTACAACCTCCTGCAAATATGTCACCACCCTTTATAACCAGCACTTTCCATTTCAAGCATCCTGTCCAGTGTGGAACACTGCCATAAATTCACCTTCAAAACCCTTATGCCACTGACCCACTCACCCTGAACTTAATTTATAGAGTAGAAAGAGTGACTCACCTTCTCCTAAAGGATCTCTCTGCACTAAATACACCAGGACAAGAAAGTGGGCAGAGGAAGAAAAGGTGGGATTCTTACAGGAAGAGAAAATAACCACCAAGTCAGTCATCTCCACGGCGTGTCCCTGCGGTACAAGGCAGAAGAATCGGCACAACTGTGGCAATCAGCTGAAAGAACTCACTTCACAGTGGATATCTGAGCCGGTAATTACCCCGAGTGGAACACATTAAACAAGGGAATGTTCTCTGAGCCATGATTGTCATTGAGGCTTTTTTACTTGCTCGTTATTCCCTCTGTGTGTGTGATAGTTACTATGATGTTTATTCATGTCAAAAGCAGATGCCATTTACTGCCAGTCAAACAAAACTATGCAGGCTCAAAAGACATTTAGCTCATCCACCATGCCCAGTATAAGGGGTATTTTCAAAGTCTGCCACTAGACGGGCTCTTTGCCTTCCTGCTCTGCCTCTTTCTTTGTAGTTTAAGGCATCCGTGCCCATGGAGGGGGTTGGAATTAAATGATCTTAAGGTCCTTTCCAAAGCAAACTATTCTATGGCTGTACTTGGAATGACCAAAAGATGATGGACCTCTGCAGTCCACCATTGGACGATGGGCCTCTGAAGCCTTTTTAGCTCAGAAGCAGCAGGAAAGTCAAAAGCAAACTCATCAGCCTTTGAATCAGTAGCAACAACAAGAACTCTGAACAGCTTTGCTGGAACAAGAACCCTCTTTGGTCTCTGCACAGGACTACGGAGACCGTGGTGGTGGATCACACACAGGACAAGATGTGGAAGCACATGCCACAGTTTTGGCTTTAAAGACCTTGGAGGTTGCAGGGAGCTGGGTGAGTGCAGAAGGTTTGGAGTTTACAGCAGCAGAGGGGTGGATCACAGTGATGGTGATCCTGGTCCCACTCATTCTGCAAGATGAAAAGAGCCAAAGCATCAACAGAGATGAACACTCCCAGCAATGGTTCAGTTCTGCGGCTGAATCATCTGGGACTATGAAATATGCAGATAAGGAAATCCCAGGAGGAAATCTGCCTGCTTTGCTGATAAGGTAGGAGCAGGTATTTTGCCTTGTTCTGAGGTTAATTCCTTCCACAGCCAAACTTGGAAGTCCCCAGCCACATCAGAAGGAGGTGGTTTGGAACACCAGCTTGTGTCATTTCAGCTTGGTATCCTAGGTGTTCACAAGAACATTTCAATAGCTCAGAATTCCCTGGAGGACGGTAGCTGCATTTTTGTGGCCTTATGAAGTGGAATCATTACTCAGGGAATCATAATCAGGGATCATTTTCCTTTCCCCCCACCATGTTTTCCTTCAGCTATCTAATTTTCAAGCAATGCATCCCTGAAAGCACAGTGGGTTTATTTCCCCTTTCTTCCTGGACTAAACGAGGAGGTTTTGCTCTCCTCCTGATGCTTTGCTTTCTGCTCTTTAATGAACACACCATTTACTAGATTTGTTACTAATTATTACT